ATGAGACGGTATTGCGCAGCAGTGCGAAAAATGTAAAGTCATGTGGCACGCTCACCGGGCTGGGTTGGCTGGGATGAATCGTAACGTTTGCTGCGGTTCATTGAAGAGAAAAATTAGATATAGCTATAAATAAGAAATTATAAACCAAATCGTGTAGGAGATTCTCATGGAACTCGCAGCATTTTGCACCGTCTTTTATGGCGTAAACGCTTCTTCGTTAAAGGGGTCTGGAACTGTTATGGAACCTCCATGAATCTTTGTCGACTTCCGTGAGGTCCTTTATATGGCTTCTTCCGTGAGTGCTTTTTTGGAATTCTGAAGATGCTTCGGAAGGGTACTGCGGGGGGATCACGTAGTGGTCGACGGTCACGCGTGACCCCACGGATCATGGGCACGTGACCGTGCGACCAGCAGGTTCGTTATTTCTAGTGTGGCTACGTGGTGGACGAAAACCGATGGGCCATGGTCACGTGACCCCCACCCACAAGCAAACGACGCTTACGCATGAACATGTGGCCAGCAAAGGTGCGCTATTATCAGTATTGTCAGGTTGCTTCCGACTCAGTCACGCGACCATGTGTGGCCATCAAAGGTGCGCTATTTCTTATGTGGTCACGTGGTGGACGGGACCCCACGGGCTATGGTCACGTGACCTCAGTGACGATGGACAGGTGATCCCTTATGATCATGATCACGTGTCCGTGCGACCACCGAAGGTGCGATATCTTATGTGGTTGCAACCGCCACCCCCCTCGACAGACCGACCGACGTGAAAACTGAGAAAGGTTTTTTTAACTTTATGATGTGTGAGGGCAGACATTAACATAAGCTCACGACGTTTTTGTTAGAGTATTTGAAGGCCTTGAGGAACACAGGCTCTAATCATTGTAGTGAGGTCATGCTATATGATCAAATTTTAACGACTGTGTCCGTTTAAAGCAATTAACGGAATAGGACCAAAGATTGCATACTTCAGGAATATATCGCATATTTACTCGAATTAGTTTTTATACTAGACCTCGGCGTTTGGACAAAATCAAAGATTCGGGAGTTCCGCTCGTTTCAGCTGAATTTACTGTGGAGTTATAAAGTCGTTCCTAAATCCTCCGATTTCCTCTTCTTACTAGCAGGAACCAATCTCGCTCGGTGGCCGCTGTGTCAGCGGAGTAGTACTCACACATTAGAATAAGAACGGCGTTGCATTGCACTTTTGGAACTACCTTTCTGATAGGAGTATCAGAAAGTTACGCTGGAATTATGCGGAAGTGAAAAAGGCAATATCATTCATGTTGTTGACAGAACAACATTTGTATTTTTCCACACGTACGTGTTTTTGATTATATACAACGCACATGCGCAGCAGCCTGTTTCTTGAAATGTGAATAATCTTCACAATCTCGGTGCAGCAGTCCTCACTACTGCTCTTATGTCATGCTCCAAAAACGTGGTGGCGTGTGCAAATTTCTGATAAGTACTAAGAACTCCTGATATGGTCATAACGCCGTTTTGAGCTGAATTGTGGGAGTTTGTCACGTGGGCCTGAAAGCTGAGGTGAAGTATTACATAGCGAGCGAACGTCAAAACAAACGAAGTGTCTGGTTACTCGAAAAGGCAATCTCGAGTCCTCGGCCACATATTTGTGCGAACTTCTCCACGCCATTTAAATATTAATACCCCAAGGCGAACTGTAGGTAATAAATAAACGAGAATAATAATGCCCCAAGGGCGAACTGTAGGTAATAAATAAACAAAAATGAACAATAAACAAATGTATTTCACGCATTTCCCGACTTTCTCACGGAAAGCGTAGCCACAACTTTATTTATTCTTGAGCGCTGAAAACGTCTGCCGCGGAAGAGGTATGTAGCACTAATGTAAAAAGTGATGACATGTGAATAAGCCCAATAGTGACACACAAAAAACAAAGATACAGTTTAGAATATTCCTTCGACGGCAGACGAACGTTTTGTGATAATCGGAATAAACGTGCTTTGATAAGTAAGCCCTTGGGAGCAAGAAGACAATGTAAGGGTTACAATAGCTCAACAACAGAAGAAAAAACTCAGTTTGTTGAGTGCCAGCCTGGTGGAAAGAAACTGTTAACCAGTGCACCGCGCAACTTTTTGCGATCTGATATGGTGTCAATTATTGTCGGAAAGATCGTTTGAGTTCTGGATGGCACGAGGAAGTGCTGAGGTTTTGAAAGGATGGATGCTGAACGAAATATTCGCTGGAAGCTTTCGCTGCTTTTTACGAAAAGAATCCGGTGGTTCTTAATAAAATAGAAAGAAAGAGAGGCAGAGAGAGAGAGAGAGAGACAGACAGAGAGGGGGGGGGGAGCAACGCTATAAAAAAATATCAGGACGGACTTAGCCTTGCCGTTGGAGCTGGCATTGCCCCGCTTGGCAGTGGTTCCAAAAGAGGTGAACTGGACTGACCGAAGTTTTGAAGGAACCGATGAAGTAAGCAAAAAAGCGAGATTAGTCGACGAGTCTAGAGAGGATGAATGAACTTACGTTGCCTAAGATCTGACACGCTAATAAATCGAGAATGAGACTATATGAATAGCGCGGTACAGTTTTAGACGGGTTCTGAATGCGTAATTCTGTACGTTTGGGGATATCATTAAGTATTGTAGACTAAGAAAAAGAAGGTGCAAGCTTCCGGAGACTAAATAGACACGGAAGAAACTAAGAAAGAGGAAGGAGAGAGCGCTCGCACTGAAAGGATCGAGATGACGGTCGGGTACAGTTCAACGGTACCTCCAAAATAAATAATTCATTATTTCCTTCTATTTTAACACAGTTCGCATAATTAAACCGACTTTTTATTTTTATCGTCACAGTGGAGATCCTTCCTCCATTTACTTAATAAAGGCTTCTAAATATATTAGGCGTATTCTGGTTTCTGGGGCGGACGTGAGTACTATAAGTATGCTTCTGTGTTTTCGGACAAATTCGATAAAATCGAAAAAATACTTCCGGTAAAATATTTTAATATTCATATTTACCCAAAAAACTCAGATTTTTCAGGACCGCCAACTGCTATGAATCCTACTGGTCTTAATATTTTCCAGGGATCTTCGAACAAGTCTTGCTCTACTTCTCTATATCTAATATTTATTTATTTATTTGAAAAACTGCAGGCCTTTTTCAGGCCCTCGCAGTATCAACTTTCGTTTGTATGATCACAAAGAACTTCCGTTTGGCTTCTATTTTAAAAAAGGGGAATCGTCGAACACGTTTCTCATTGAAAAGGATACTTTTACTAAATTCACAAACTGCTGTTTTCAACCTTTCGTTCACTTCACCGAAAAAGCCGAAAAACTCTGTACGATGAAAGAAAGCTCCAAAGAACTCCGAATTTATGGTAAAAAATAAGCACTAAACAACACTCCGCGATTTTAAGCAGAAATAAACTCCGAAAACGCAGAATCCTAATTATAAGCTGGATTTCGTATATGTTGGTGCAGCTTTTAGATTTCGTTATAACTTATAGGTAGGGTTCCGTATTTTTGTGTATTCTTTTTTAAATTTAAGGGTGTCTTTGGGTGTTCATTTTTTCAAAGTTCTCTGTTTTCGGTATCTATTTCTGGTGTCGACCAGAAAGCAGGGTTTATCAGGGCTTACGTCGTAAAAGCTATTGCACATCTATCGCGTTTTTACAACACACAATGCTATTCGCGCCAGTTATCACTAAGTGGCCCATGTAGAAACAATAATTGCAGCAGAAGAGAGCAGCCTCGCGGAAAAAGGCCGGTTTGTTTTCGGGGTCAACAGAAATAAAGCAATTTTTCCAGTTAACCTGGGGTTTCATTTAATTCAAAAATTTCAGTTCGGAGTTTTTCAGTTTTACCAATTTCAAGAAAAATCCCAAGAAAAAAGGAAGCCAGACATCAGCACAGCAAGTGGTCATACCAAAGAGAATATTTCGCTCCTGATGACTTCAGCGGAGGCAGTGTAGCGATACGATGGTTGTGGAGTTCATGAAAGCCTAATTTAGGCAACACAAAATATGGATCCTTTTTGTTGTAGTTTACTCGACACACTCGCCAATCTGCAAACAACTTTCCAAAAATATCGCGTATGTATTGTCGGGTAGTTTTTCGAATACTTGTTCGGAATTCTTCCGCAGATCTGACTTTTTTGCTTCCATATCGCTAGATATGAAAACGCGGAATAATAGTGTTATCGACTTCTTGCAACCGGGAAGCGCTGATACGGCGTGCTCGTTCGCTCTTCGCGCCCGTCTTGCGTTTGTTTGCCTCAAAATGCGCTCACTGGCTGCTTTTACACTCTCCCCCACCACACGCACACACACACGCGCGCGCGTTCACACGCACACGCGCACGCACGGACGCACGCACACACTGACACACACAAACAACCCGTCTCGTCGAATTAACCACCAACACTGGCGCGGGTTTTACTGCCGCGTCAGCACGCTCTCTGCGTGTTCTTTGTGCTGTCCATCAATTGATCTTCCCCCTTTCTGTAGTACTGTTTGAGAAGCTCTGATAACGTAGCTCTATTTTCTATTTTTCACAATTTTATTCATTGCACGCGGAACGCATTTCGGTTTGGCGGGAATTTGCACACGACGTAAAAGTTAAAGGTGAATACGCCACGTGTCGGTAAATAAGTGAACTAGAACAGCTTGTCACAAATTTCTGGCCATGAGTGGAAGGCAGCTTGCTTTGAGGTCTACCCCCTATCCTTCTAATCAGAGCCGATCAGAGCTCGGCTTTCTGACGTCATCACAACCCCTGCAAAAGAAGCAGACGAACTTGCGTTTCGCGTAGAGCTGAGTTTGGTGGGCAGATAATGAATAAAGAGAAATAAAGCATCGAAGTTTAAGGAAAGACTATGATGTATGGTTGGTGTCAATGAACGTTTGTAGCTCTGTGCGACACTTTTTGAGCGGCCGTACTTTGTTTCCTCGGTTGTTCTCGGGATATCGGTGTTTTTAAACCAAGCTAGGTACCCCTGACTCGTGTACAGGCCTGCGACGAGTACTGCTATCAAGTGCACATCTTTGAGACGTGCGGCTGCCGCTCCTACAATCATATCCGGGTCCTGGAGCCACGCGTCATGGAATCACCGGTCTGTCCCGACATGCTAAAAGGTAGCTCTTTTAATCTTGACGACGATTATGATCGCGTTGCTCGTTTTGGCAGGACTTATAGACCGTTTTGGTGTGTCGTTTGCCATTTGAAGATTTTGCGTGTTGGGTGGGGCGACAACAATTTAGCAAATGCTTTAAGCGTAACTTTACAATAAAAAAAAAAAATTAGCACCCCCCAAAAAGTAGAACTATTCGCAAGAATCCTTTCAATTATAGCGCCCTCATTTCAGCAAGTGAAGGGATTTGCTATTTTCATTTACCTCAGCTACGTCAAAATTCAACATGGCGGCCGCCACAATAACACGGTCTATATTTGACAATAAGTGAACTGCGACTTATGACAGACAGAGTATAGGAAGTCTAGTTTAATCTCCAACGAGAATAATATAATAACGAAATTGTGACTGTGATCAAGATGTCAGTCTTCTATTCGAAACAAACAGTGAAGCTGGGCCGCGTCCAGATTCGGTATTCTATAATTTACGTGTTGAAAGCTCCGAAAAAGAAAGGACATTCTTTAAAGTGTATGCAAACCTGTTTCATGTTAAGGCAAAGACACGATTTCAGCGAGACGACATAGTTCCTTCGCCACGCCATGGTCTTTTTTCTGACAGTTCTAGACCGATATTGCCGGAAACACGCTCGAAGCGCCACCGCCTCGGTGTGGCATAATACACATGATTATCTGGGAGACGTGTATAGCCTACTAGCCAAAGTTTGACCAGACCACTCTGCGACGGAATGTGGGTACAGACCGAACACGGGTTCTACATCAGGGTTTGGTTAAGACTCCGGTTCAGTCATCGCGCAGGCGGACACTCAGCTTCGGGCTCGTGCCCATTCTTTACGGTGCGACATCCTACAGTGCTAAACCTTCATTAAACATGTTTTGGCGTCAATCAGGCACTCAGAGATCGTTGAATCGCGTAGCTGTTGCTTTTCTGGAAATCGCAATGGTGAATTATTCCTTTGTGCAAATAGCAATTCCTTTTACTTTCATTTGAACAGCTCTAAAATAGGTGAGGTTTATGAAGCGGCGCATTGGATGTTGAAGCTGCATAGCGAGGAAACGTTATCGCAGAATCCTTGTTATAGTCTTTCGTTCTTTAAGTGTTCTGCTTTATTTTCAGGTGACTGTGAAAGGGCGGTTGAAGCTCAGATCCTCCAGAAACTTATCACCTGCAAATGTCTTACTGCGTGCGAGTAAGTGTTTTCCATGTCCAACCCCTTGCTGTTGTTAACAAGTCTAGTTAAGCGAATGTCCAATCAAATGACGGGCTTTGTTTGCGAGCAAGTTCCTGCAAAAACCATGACGTCATCATTTCTCAAGTATAAAATCATTGATAAAATTCGGGATGATGTCCTCGAAAATGAGGTATTTCTCTCAGGGCGTATTGGATTTTGTTTATTATGTGTACAGGGCTTCATACAATGCATGACTTGCACATGCCGTAAAGGCACCATGGTGGTAAACAATCCTACTCGTTCGTTCTGAAAAAAATATAGTTTTGCCAAATGTATGCTGCAGAAGATGCGGGCTGAGCAGGAAGTCCACCACGATGGCAGCAGGTGTGACGTCAATGCAAGCAATAACCTGAGTGTGCCCCCTTTGTTTCCCATGTTCGTGGAGTGTGCAATAGCTTAGACGGTTATCATGTAAAGACTGATCTTTTTTTTTGTTTTTTTTTTAAAGTAAAGTGCAAAGTGAAAGTTTTCTTTTCTAGTAGCAATCACTCGTCATATTATAAAACAGCTTTTTGATGGCAAGGGAGGACATGATTCAGTGTTGGATTTGCCGAGAATATACATATAACAAACGTTCACTTCTCTTATTTTTTACCTTTTTCATTTTACCCAGGATTCATTACTACGACACCTCTCCGAGCAGTCTTGCTTGGGCTAGTCACCTGGTAAGCATACAATATCTAGATATATTGAACGTAAAATGGTTGCGCTTAGCAATTTATATGCACTGCTTCACTCGGAAGTGTAAATAATTGGGTTAACTAATATGTCTATATTCCGAACGCGAGAATTTTCAAAAGCCACCGAATATAGGAACAACCAACAGGCCAAAACCGAGTGCATGACCAGCGGTCGGGTCCAGTGGTACTCTCAGGCGTCTCTGACTGACGGCACATCGATCCCCCTAGAACATCAAAACACCAGTCAGTGAAATGTTTTTATAATAAATTCAAGCAATGAGAGGTGCTACTGAGACTCGATTATGGTTATGCCCATGCGGTCTCAGTGGCAAAAGTGGTGCAGGACACGTACGTTTTGCCATGGGAGTACATGACCGTACGGACGTGATATTAGTCGCCATTGTTAGAGCTAAGCTTGGTATGTTGAGTACATCATGGTACAATATTCACCCTGAAGTATGTCAGAGTGTTTGTGGTTATTGGCCAGGAGATCTAATCAGGGGCGCTTTTTGTCCCTTAGCACTCCCTGCGGCGATGACTGGATTTTTTTTTTCGGTTCCCTTCCCTTCTGAAAGTCTCAGCGTTCCTTGTTAGAGAGTCAGCAGCTCACACACAACGTAAATTTGCCACAATCGGAGCCCGTACGAGGGAAGAAAACGTCGGAGCGGGTGTTTATTCAACACAATGCTTTGTGGGGTTCACGAAGCGCAGGGCACAAGTTGAACTCGAGTGCCTCTTTAGCGTTAGCTAAGTACTCGTGTTCAATTGGTAATTCACTGATTGAACATCATTCCGAAACCGAACGCTCACCAAGCGTTCGGCTACGTCAGCCGAGAGCTGCGTCGGAACCACGATCATATTTTTCTCGTTGTTGGTGTCCCCATGGGTTTTGTTCTCGACTTATCAGCAACAAATGCGATGGTTGTATCCCCTCTCCAACATTAAAACCCGCCGCTAAAAAGAAACAAAAGAAAGCTGAGGGCTGATAGATGCTTTCGCTAGACAGCCGTTTTGTTCAGTGTAAAATCCAATCACCGGTGTAGAATTTAGAGCATGGTTCTAGTGAAGATTGAAGATGAATCAATTAAAAAAAATGAAGTGTTGCTTAGGGACAACACACCCTAGAGGTGGACTAGTGGGGCCGTTATGCTGCCCAGCGGTCAAAGATCGTTGTCACACAAAGTGCCTTTTGACGGTGTAGTTTTATTGTGAGTGAAGTAGCCGAACACAATATAGCTTCTAAGGAACCATACAAGGGTCGTTAAAGATTGAGCGCAATATTTGTTCATAAGAAATCGCTGAAGATGTGTATCATGATGAAAGTTGTGAAAGACGTTAAGGTAATTCTCTCCTTATACCTTGTGCGTAGCAGTTCCACCAGCAAGCAATCCGTCTGTGGCTGTAGTGTAGCGATGCATGATCAAATTTCTCATGAAAAAGACTAAACCAATTGAAATTTTGAGATGATTGCAAGCACAGTACGAGAAAGAAGCAATGTTACGGACAGGAGTGTATAAATGGTGAAACAGTTTCGCAAAGAACGACAGTCGGTGTCTACCGCGCGGACACTTTCCCCGACTGCAGTCCAGTGCAGCCCACTTTTTTCTACGCCAAACGAATCAGGAGCCTACCAAAAACAATGGCAGTAGTGCCCGGACGCCCACAGGGAATAGTTTGAAAAGCTGATGTATTTTTGCGCTTGTCTGATTTTTTCATTTCCACTCTGAGAATCCCGGTCAACATTGAATATCCCCTGAAGTACGAAATGTCTTGAACTACGAAACGCCCTGATCCTTTCGTCTGCCTCGCCCATTATTGGCCTTGAGGGTACAATTGGGTCACACGGTTCGAAAATCTAGAGCTTAATATTATGTTTGATCTGCTTCAGGTGAAACCAGAATACATTCTACAGGAAGAATCGCCGGATCGGAAAAAGTAAGTTCATCCTTAATCTACGCAGTCAAAATGTGCGTGATTCTCGAATATGGTTATGACGGAGTCAATACACTTCGTGGAAATTTAGTGCTGTGGGGGTTTCTCTTTCGACTAAATGAAAGTAGAAAGTTCAATGTTCCGTGATGAAGTCCGAGAAGCCAATTTGGCTCTCAGCAAGGCGTATTTGCCTAGGATGGCGCTTCGCCACCAAATGTTTGCTTCGAATCTAAAGCAAGAAATAAAAGCGTCTAAAATAAACTCGGCGAGAACGTAGTCTTCATACTCGTGCCACATTGAACCAGGTACCAATGTGCCATCCGTGGGAATGGCTTCTCTAACTGTTTCTTCACCCCAATATTTTGGCCCATCATACATCATCAGGCGTGTTTTCACTGCCAGCATTATTTGTCCTTATATTCCGTTTCACTTTAAGCTCAACTGGAGTCAACGCTGCGATTTGATGGAGCCAATCAGGCGGCTCCAAACGTTAATCGCCAGGCCCTCGTCGTCTTTGGCCGTCTGTTGTCGACGGTTAAATCAATCACACACGTGATTGGTTTATAGTTGAGTAATAGAAAACGTCGCAAAAAAAGAAAAAGAAACGAGTATCGTGACAATGCACTTCTTCTGTTGCTTGATTGGCTTCATTCGACTGTAGCGTTGTCTGCAGTCGGATTCAAGAGGAAACGAAGATGGAGTAGGCCACCGATTAGGCCTAATTGCACGTTTAGACTAGCGGATTCGCGAGCGGATCTATAAAGGCGGAAAGGGGACTTTCGAGCCGTGTGACGAAATCAACTCGCCGCATGCGGAAAACTTTGGATATGCGTCCCGGACTTATCCAAAATTTCCACCAGGGACGAGTCGATTTCTCCACCCCCGGTTGTAATAACCACTTTCCGGCCGCGCGAATCCCACCGCGAATCCGCAAGTGTAAGGGCGCCTTGATGGTCATATACTCTAATTAAAAGCTTGCCGGAGTGACAAAAGCGATATGGAATTATCAAATTCTACGGAGTTAAACACTGGGCGCATCAGTCGTGAAAAAGGGTCGAATAAAAACATAGAAAATGTGAGAAGGGGTCACATTGAATATATATTAGTTTCCGAGCTACGTTCGTGAGATGACTTGCAATTAGTTTGCATGCGTTTTAAACTTTTTCACTAGGCAAGCAAGCCATTCTTATTAACGCTTAGTTACAACCTAGCTTATCCAACTAGCCCACCTGAACAAGCTATTTCAAGTTCACTGTGTTTCCGCCTTGCGTATTTCTTTCCACCGTAGTGTAAGCTTTGACTCGTAATATCACGTAAATTCTCATTCTCCCTCGTGGTATCTGTTTTCCGACGCAACATCAAGTTCCTACTTTAACCTTTCGCTCTGTTTTGCGCAGAATTCACGCCAGGATTCAGATCTACATGAAGACCACCAAGGTTCTCTTGAGGCGCAAGGAGCCCAAGTCCACGGTAAGCATTAAATGCCCAATCCCGCTGTAGCTACCCTTCGACAATAAAATGCAAAATGAAAACAATCTCAATTATTAAAGTGTCTTTCGCAATTCGAGCCATAATATGCGATTGCCCAATAGTTCCGGAAGCGTGTTTAAATGTTGCTATTATTCTTCTTTATTTCGCTGCACTATCTGAGCTGGACATTGTAAAATAGGACGGTTTCACGAAACGGATTGTCACGTCAGACGTTTAGTTATTGGCATCGGATTTGGTGTTGTTGAAACGCACATCCGTGGCGAGCGACTCCGTCGACGAAACAATTAAAACTCGATCTTTTTTTTTTCTTTAATATAAAAGTACATTTAATGTACATTGGACATTACTGGACCATCTAGGCACATAGCCAATTTGGCTAGTTCGGACCATTTTAATAAAATATTACGATGAATGGCACTGCAATTGAAGACACAAAATACATAAAAAACTGCATAATGTCAGGTTAAGCAAATGGATAGATAATTTAAAAACGGCCGAAATAAAATGAATGACAGCAATCATATTGTGACACTGAAAAAATATTTATCTCATAAGCAAATGAGGGTCAAGATGAGGGCAGACATATTCCTTATAGACGCATCGTGCTTTAATTAACTTTCGAAGTATATGAATTCGTGGCTGAAGACGGTAAATTATTTCAGGTTTTAGTACCGCAGAATGTCCAAAGTCGCTTGGTTTGAAAAATGGTTTGGAGAAGTTTGGGGAATATTATAGTGATCAGATGCGTTCGGCCCTTGTTAGATGACTGCCCCGATTTTAAATATTTGCCGATAGAGGAATATTTGAGAACCGGCGTAATCAGCTTTTGAAACCGCGCGCCAAACGGAACCTAAATTCTCCTGTCCCAATGGAGCGAAGCCTGTAGTCTGTGGCAGCGATTTCATGGATAGGCTGCCATTGGCTGGCGCGCGTCATAGTTTCATGGGACGCCACCCCATGGCGCTGCGGGCCCTGGGCCGGCAGCGCGCCGGTAAAAGGAACAAGGTGGCGCGCGCTCGGCCGCTTCTACTGCTCTCGACGCCGACGAACATGGCGGCGTCTCAACGTCGGCGGCCGCAACCTCGGCAGTAGCGAAGCCTGCCCGTCCACGCAAGTACACGCGGGCGTACTAAGGGAGCGGACTTACGTAGCACAACGAGCGAGGAGGCAGGCAGCGAAATACGCCATCGTTGTTAAGTCTCCGAATACACGGCGGGCGGAACGAACAGCGGCGCAACGCGTTAGGGGACAAAACAAAGCCTTTCGAAAGCGTTAGGCGCAAGCGGATCGCGACTCAAAGCATCTCAGGCGGCAAAAGGGCGAGGCCCTTCGACAACGCGAGGCAGAAGCAATACGTCACAGGTTGCATGCTTTCGCCTTCACAACTCATAAGAAGTGCTTAGGTGTCCTAGGACTCTTTTATATAGATGCACGCAGTAGAGAGTTAATGTCCCGAATGCAGGGACGTGGAGGTAATCAAAAAGAATACGCGATGGTTGAGTGTAATGGCAACGTGCCACGATTATAAGAGGGTGCTTTTGTAATTTTAATAATGTCAAAAGATAGGTGTGACATGTAACGGCCCGTACGTACTCAGTAGAATTCAACGGGGATAAATTTGGAATGCATAGACCCATGCTTAGTCAGTTTTACTTCTTTCCGAACCGTTACGCATTAAAATCGTTTGTTACGTATAAAGCTGAAGCACCAGCCGATGCTCTTTTATGTTGCCGACTACCCTAAATTACGCAGTCGGTCTTGACGCGAAAAACCAAAAATCGAACGATTTAAGGCACACCCCGTCCGCGTATAGAAAGACACAACCAAAGTTCATTAGCATGGCGACCGGCGAGACTTACAAGAAACCGCCCTAGCAAACCTCATAGCGCACAACGGCGGCAGCGAGGTCGCTCTTTTTGGAACGCACTTGTTAGGCGAAAAATATCATTTTGAGAAGCCCCCTGGTCAGTATTTTAGTTTCCCTGTTGGTTATAATTCAATTAATGCAAAGGTGCAAGCAGCTAGACAAGAATGACAATAATAATCCCCGGAGAAGGTGATCGAAAGGATCAAAGGACAAACGCAAACGTCCAAACACAGCTAGGTGACTGGTGCGTGACCGAAAACAAAATCCGCCTCGTCCGGGTATCGAACGAGGGACCTCTCCCTTTCCAGTGGAGCGCTCTATTATTCATTCCTTCCCGCACTATCAGTTCTACGCGTAGAAAAGATAAGCCATGAATGTCAAAAGGACTTCGCAGTCTGCTTACCAAACGAAAAGGAGAATATAGCAAATACAAAGCCAGTCGAAATAAAAATACGTATGCAAAACTGAAAGATATTCAAGCTGAATTCAAGAGAAAGGCCGTGATAGCGAAGAGTGGCTATATTAACTCTCTCGAAGGCAAGGTCGAAGCAAATCCAAAGCAAATGTGGAAGTTTGTTAAATCTAGTCGTAAAGAGTCGTTGGGAACTCCGCCCCTTATGGTAGACGGTTCGTGAACTACCGACGAACGCGCTAAAGCCTCCTGCTTTAATCGTTACTTCCATTCTATTTTTCCTTGGATTTAAATGCGAAGCCTTTGCATGCAAATCATGGTAGTTTTGTACAAATGCCAGAGATTGTGATAGGTCACAATAGAATTCTTAATTTACTAAATAACATTAAAATTGAAAAGGCGATCGGACCCGACGGTATCCCTAAGCATGTTCTCAAATCATGTGCCGACATAATTAGTTGTTATCTTTTCATTACTTTTACGCGGTCATTGCAGTGTGGTTCATTGCCTCACGACTGGAAACATGCAAATGTTGTACCAGTACATAAATCTGGAGCCAGGAGCAGTGTTCAGAACTACAGACCAATATCGCTAACGAGCGTTTCAGGCAAGATAATGGAGCACATTATTTATAGTAATCTGATCTCGCACTTGAATACTAATTTTTTTTTTACTCCCTCGCAACACGATTTTCGAGCCGGGTCCTCTTGCGACACCCAATTGACTGAATTTACCCACGACTTAGCTCAATCGGTGAATAGTCGAAAGCAAGTCGATTGCCTTTTTTTTTTGGACTTCCGAAAAGTCTTCGATACGGTACCGCACTGCTTTATTTTAGAAAAACTTAGTATAAATATTGATAGGAATGCGTACTATTGGATTTTTAACTATTTGAGCGATCGTAAACAATGTGTAGTTGTAAATGGAGTGAAGTCTCCACCAGTTGGTGTAACTTCCGGAGTATCACAGGGCTCCGTGCTTGGGCCACTCCTCTTTTTAATTTTTGTAAATCACATAACCCAGGGAATCACCTCGCAGATAAGACTGTACGCTGACGACTGCTGTTTGTACCGACATTAATTCGAACTTTGATGTATCAGCTCTTCAAAGCGATTTAGACAGAATTTGTTTGTGGTGCTTAAGATAGAAAATGACTTTGAGCATCCCGAAGTGTTGTCATGTAAGGTTCACAACAAAACGCAACGTTGTCCACTCAACGTACACTTTACACGGAGCAACTTTATTCGTTAAAAAAGAAGCTAAATATTGTGGGGGTAATTTTTTCTAATGATTTGAGATGGCTTTCACATGTGAACTACATAACAGGGAAAGCTAGTAGAATGCTGGGTTTTCTGAGGACAAACTTCTCGTGCGCTCCACCATCCCTCAAACAGTCTCTTTTTTTCTTGTGTGAAGCTCATTCTCGAGTACGCTTGTGTTGTATGCGATCCATCTCAACAGTATCGCATTGATAAAATTGGAAGAATTCAAAACCGTGCCGCTAGATTTGTGACAAATAATTACAACTTTCGTAGCAGTGTCTTCGCAATAAATAAGGATTTGCAATGGAAATCGCTTGCTGCTATGCGTAAGTATTTGCGCCTAAAATGTTTTCACAGTATTTCCTATGGTTTATCTAAAATTCAAATATCACACTACCTGCTTGGGCCATTTTATGTATCGCGCAGAGTAGATCATGACCAAAAAGTTAGGGAGTGCACGTCAAAGTCTGATTTGTTTCGTAACTCTTTCTTCCCACGAACGATAAAAGAATGGAACAGCTTGCCAAGCGAGATTGTTTCCTTGCAAAGTCCAGATTCGTTTTTTTCGCAAGTCGAGCATTGTCTCTGAACAATATATTTGAGCGCAAATATATTATCAACGCTTTTGTGTTTCTTTCCATGCGGACTAAGGTTGTTTCTTTTCTATGTTTATATGCGTGTGCGATTTTGTATATTACTTTGCGTACTTATGTTTCTTGATGACCTATGGTGTGTTAAAAATCCATCTTTTGTATTGTGACTCCCCCTACTGTAATGCCGTTCGGGGCGCAGTAGGAAATAAATAAATAAAATAAAATAAAAATCATTGTCTAAAATACAACAAACTATGCTGTCTCTTTTTGTGTGTGTTTTTTGTTTGCCTTTTGCGGGAGTGCAGTCCGGTCTTCAGCTCTTGAGCGCCCGAGCGCACGCTCTCTGGGTTGAATCGTAGCTGGGCTGTATGAGTAACGAGCCGCGCACATTCGAGATATCCCTCCGTGCTTTCACCGGCAGGAGGCGCGAAGATCCTTCGCTTGCTATTTAGTGAGAGTGGTCATGGTTTCGGAACATGCTACACCTTAAGCCCCTCGATGCGTTTGCGTTGTTCTTGCAATTAGTGACAAATGCGCCAGTGCACGAGGCCCGTGTCTCGAACGGCCCTTGGAAGCACATGGCGGCTCAGCACTGAAATGAGCGGCCCTTAGAAGCGAATGGCGGAAGAGCTCCCGCTCGTGACACGTGTCTTGCGTGTTTCCGCAACGATGGTTGACGGTAGTTGAAAGCGTGACTTTCATCGAGGGATTTTTGCTACACCTTGTGCCACAAAATAAGCTACGCTTCAGGATAACGACACTTACCAAAATATTGTATCTTAAAATCATGGTTGCCAGGTATCTAAAAGTTTATCTGAGATGCCAGAAAACGCTTTTGCCGTCCTCCGCAAATGTTTAAACAGTTCGCGACAGAGCAAAGCAGTATTATATGTGCTTCCTAACATCAAATCTAATGCTGAGGAAGTCGCACTTTTCAGTCACGACGATCGACTGTTGGGTCTGCTTTGCGCTAGAAGCACCAAAATGGCAGCGCTCACAGCAATGTCGGGGAACAGAGTGCCAATACTCTAAGCGCAGCTCATTTGGTGGCTCTAGCTACACCCATCGCCCGAGATGAAATCGGTGGGTTGCGATCTTTGATGGTTTTTTTTAATAGGGAAATCGGCCACATATCGTCATGATTTATGTATTTCTAGGATGCTTAGAGCCTCCAGCGAGAGAACTATCGTCATATTTAGGTGCTCTCAGAATCCTCCTCGGGACACTTTAGACCTGAGAACTGTACGCATTGCGCACCTGTTTGCGACGCAGGTAGCCAGTCTTTTCCGGAGCATCGGCGGCCTGATGGGCGTCTACTTGGGTTATTCTTCGCTCCACATCTTCCACGTGCTCGACGTTCTTGTCGACGGTGCCTGGTCCAGCCTCTCCAGGATCCTGGCGCGAAGACGCCGCGACCGCGAAGCACGCCAGGAATTTCACACTAAGTCCCTCGGCGATGAATATGTACTGACCCGTTTTCAGTAAACTCTTCACTATGTGCAATATACAGGCTCATAAAAAGTTTTAGATATTTTTTTTTATTTCACTTTTGGAGGCACAGTGTAGTTCTATCATCGACGCTTGACCTTAGTATAGTCTGGCCATGATGTAACATTTTATTAAAGGTTGGCTGCACGCTAGTGAATGTGGTTTTATATTGTGACTTACAGCTTAAGACACAAATGACGGGCCATTTTCGAGCACCTCAGCATAGGTGAGCAGCCAACAAGGTTACGGGATTTGCCGATAAAAAAGAAAGAAAGAAATAAACTCCAAAACTCAATTACGAAGCTTGTGGGATTTCCCTTGCTGCTACCCGTCTCGGAGAATGACACAGCACACCAGTTCAACAACACGTAAACATTTAATGACCGCTATCGCCTGCGCCGCGATCCCAACAGCCCCCGCGCATCCGCTGCGACGGCCTTTTATCAGCGGCGGAGCGCCGCTCGCGTGGCCAGTTGCCCTTGGCCCCCTCGTGGTCAAGATGACCACTTATGATTGTCGGAGGGGCAGCCTGGGCCAACCGCTTGGAATCGCCAGGTTGCCCACACATCTCCCCCCTTCCAAAAACGAAAACAGAGGAGGTCTTTGATGGTCTTCGGGGGGGCCTTCCTTCTGGGTCAGCAAGGGTCTTCTCAGATGAGCGAGCACGGGTCCGACGTCAGTACTTCCGGACAGTACTGATGCAGCCATGGGGGGTGGTCTGATGATGGGAGCTGCGTCGCCGCTGTCTGGCACGAGGAACTAGAAATTAAAAACAACATGAGGCCATGGCGCGGTAGGAAAAAGTAGCCGCGCACACGAAAGATGCCTGTCCCACTCTGCATGCGGGAGCGCGGACCATTTCTCTTCTCCCCCCCAAAACACCGAAGAGGGCATGAAGATAATACACTTAGAACTCGTGCTACTGCCGGTCGTCTTCACCGCCGTCTCAAGTTGTACCGCGGTAGAGACGGTGTGGAATCTTCCGAGAGGTGGTCCGGATAGTCGTCATCTGGAACCTGCGACACATCTACCTCCTCGGGTTCATAGAAAGCTTTTAGGTCGGTGACATGAATAGACCCGCACACTTCACCAGATTCACAATGCACCAGCTCATAAGACAGGTTGGAGAGCTTGCTACTAACACGGTAGGGGCCATCCCACCTCTTTGCTAAAGAGGCCGTGAAGCCTCTAGCAGCATCACTCAGCGGATGAGTTCGCCTCAGTACCAGATCTCCTACCTTGAACTGCAGATTTCGCCTCCCCTTGTTGTACTGGTTTGCCTGCTGCAGTCTCGAGACGTCGAGGCTCTCTCGAGCTTCACGCAGGTTCTCCGTGAAACGCTTCCGGAGATCTTCTGCGAACTGCGTGGTTGTGCGCTGCATGCTCGCAGGATCTGTGCAAAGGAGGCCGTTTCCCAGGGGAAACACGAGCTCTTTTCCAAAGTTAAGTTGGGCCGGAGTAAAACCCGTGGACCGGTTGATTGTTGTGCGGGTAGCGAATGCCATTTCTGCTAATTTCGCGTCCCAGTCTTTGTGTCGTTCTGTATGCGATACAAGCATCTGCTTCAGGTTACGGTTTACTCTTTCCGTGATATTCGCCTGTGGATGGTATGGCGAAGTCCGTTTGTGCCGTATGCCTAGCGCCTTACACGCATCCACGAACACCTTGCTAACAAAATAAGAAGCGTTGTCTGTAATAAGCGTTGCGGCAAAGCCAAAGCGCGCGAACGTCTCGAGAAGACAGTCCCAGATTTTCTTAGAGTCTAGTTTGCGCAAAGGAAACATTTCGACCCATTTTGTGAAATGGTCGGTCACTACTAGCAAATACTGATTGCCGCGTGGACTACGGGGAAAGGGACCGACAACGTCGCAGGCAACACACTCCCAGGGGTACTTGCTTTCGACCGACTGCATTAAACCTGGTGGTTGGCCACCTCGGGGTTTTGCCTTCTGACAAACCGGGCAGCTACGAGCGTACCTCATCACATCCTGCCTCATACCTGGCCACGTTGCAATTTGGGACAACTTTTCGTAAGTTTTGCTCCCACTGCTGTGGCCTGCCAAGGCGGGATCATGCATATATCTTATAAATGACTTACGCAGTTTACGTGGTATTACAGACCGGAATGGCGGGCCGCTGGACCCATCGTCCGCCTGGGGGATGTATCGCAGCAGGATGCCGTCGCTGCTGAGCAGGTATGAGTCCAAGTCTCTGGGATTCCCAGCGTCGGCTGAGTTTTCTTCTGCCAGCTGGCGCATCACCTTCTGACAAAGTCCATCGGACAGCTGGGCCGCTCGGAGCTCCTCTCTGCTCACCAGGGTTCCCCACCGCGACTCTGGTGTGATGGGCGCCGCATTGGTCAGTGCCACCAAGTCGGGATCCACCTGCATTTCCTGCCCGAGAAGTGGAGCACGGGACAACGCATCTGCAACGTGGTTAGCCACTCCACGCTTGTACTCGATTGTGTATTTGTAGCGCTGGAGCGAAAGGGCCCATCGAGCAAGTCGTCCTGCAGGGTTTTGAAGCCCTTTGAGCCACGAGAGAGCCATGTGGTCAGTTTGAATGCTAAACGAAGCGCCGTCAAGGTACATGTCAAACTTCTTAAGCGCAAAAATAATTGCCAGGCACTCTTTTTCGGTTGTTGAGTAGTTTCGCTCCGCTCCGGTTAACGTATGACTGGCGAAAGCTACGGGACGAAGAACGCTGTCATGTTCCTGCAGAAGGACTGCTCCTAATCCGTAATCGCTTGCGTCGGTCTGCAAGACGAACGGACGATTCAAGTCGGGCAGGTTTAAGCACGCGTTTTCAGTCACAGCCCTTGAAAGACACGCGAATGCGGTTTGCTGCTCTTGCCCCCAGCACCATTTCGTTTTTTTGCGGAGCAATCGGTTCAGAGGTTCAGTTATCTCAGCGCATTGCGGAATAAAATCTCTATAAAACGCAATCATCCCGAGATATCTCTGTAGGCTTTTGACGTCATAAGGGGGTGGGTACTCCGTTATTGCGCGCAGCTTATCTTCATTCGGCCGCAGCGTTCCGTTATCCACAACAAATCCGAGAAGGTTGATTACAGGCGATGCCAACTGGACTTTATCTGGATGAATCGTAAGGCCGGCTTGACGCATTCGTTCGAGTATGATCTGAAGGTGCACGAGATGCTCCTCGAATGTTCGTGAAAAGACCACTACGTCATCCATGTACGCCATCGCAAACTCGTACTTCGCGTCACCGAGGACAACGTCCATTAGGCGTTGAAAGCTGGCGGGAGAGTTGGACAAACCAAAGGGAAGGCGAGTGAATTCGAACAACCCCCTATGGCAAATGAATGCGGTCTTCTTTACATCAGCCGGATGAACTTCGATTTGAAGAAATCCGCGGCTGCAATCGAGGGTTGTGAAAACAGTCGCGTTTCCAAGGGCATACATTACTGAGGAAATACTAGGAAACGGGTAACTGTCTCTGACTGACACTTCATTTAGGCGCCTGTAATCAACACAAAGCCTTGCTGTGCCGTCCTTCTTTGGAGCAAGGACTACCGGGGAAGCCCACGGGCTTTTTGACTGACGTACTGCGCCTGTGTCGATCATTTCCGATAGCGCCGCATCAAGAAGTTCGCGCTTGTGAGCACTTATGGGTCTCGGATTGCACCTCCGGGGAGGTGCATCCTTGGTTTCGATGCGGTGCTGTAGGAGATCGGTTTTCCCAGGTCTTTCTGTGAACATCGGCGAGAAGGGTTCCAGCAGTTTCTGGAGCTGCTTCTGTTTGTCTTCACCGGAACACTTTTGCACGGCTTTGAGCACGCTGTCTGGAAGTAAAGGCATCTGCCCGGCAAAGTTTAACGGGAACGCTTGGCCGCGAATACAATCTTGCCGTCTGGTAAACGGCGTTAATTTCATTTCGCCACCCAACTGTTATGGAGTCGCCGACGCGCCGACGCCAGCGAGCTCCAAAGTCCAAAGCGACCGAGCGAGAGCAACCGTTCGCGCGCGGAGCCCGAGATCTAAACATCCGTTCGTCCGCTTCGCGCGTAACCTGAGCGCCCCGTACCAGAGGCGCCTTTCTTTTATTTCGTTTTAGATTTAATAAACGAGACGTCAGTCTTCAGCCTGACTCCGGCACGAAAGGTTGTCCATGTGTGCCCTTCGTAAAAGAACGTAAAACGAAACATGGTGTCAGAAGTGGGATCGCTCCGCGAGTCTGCTAATGATTGGTAAAGCGCAGGATCGCTCCGCGAGTCTACTAATAATTAGTAAAGCGCAGGATCGACTACAAACGAAGGAACAATGGACAAGCCCTCAACTTCTGCCGACAACGGTGCTACCGAACAAACGGTAACGGCAACTTTTCGCATCTCGCCACCCGAAGCCTTCAGTTTTACAACACCTAACGAATGGCCGGCGTGGAAGAAGAGATTCAAGCGCTTCCACAGTGCATCAGGACTGGCATCTCAACCATCATCACACCAAGTCGACGCTCTCATTTACATCATGGGACCACAAGCTGAAGACGTCTTACAGACCTTCAAGCTGTCCGACACCGAGGGCCAAGATTTCGAGAAGGTGATGGAGAACTTCGAACGTTACTTCATTCCTCGTCGAAACGTGGTGTATGAGAGAGCCATGTTCAACACAAGATCGCAACTGGAGACGGAAACCGTCGAGGAGTACGTCACTGCTCTCCATGGATTAGCCACTACGTGCAACTATGGACCACTGAAGGAAGAATTGATCCGCGACAGGCTGATTGTTGGTCTTCGGGACAGCAGGACTTCAGAAAAACTTCAACTGGATCCTGATCTAGACCTCCAGAAGGCCATCGCTGCTGCGCGACAATCGGAAGTGATTAAGAAGCAACAAGTGGAACTCCGACCGACAAAAGAGAAGGATGCCAACGTTGACCGTATAGCAGCCAAAAATGGGACAGCAGCAAGACCTGCTCAGCGAGGAATTGAACGTTCAAATGTTCGAACTCCTACTAAGAAGACCGCGACACCCAAACCAAAAGGCAAACCGTGC